TGCCCRTGTTTCTCTAATTCTCACATGTGGGTTTCTTACAGAAGAGAAGAATTAGGTGTGGTGTCCTCAAAGGCTGGAGATGGTATCTCTGAGCGTATGTTTGAACCCACCTTTGACCACGGGGCCAACATTCCCTAAAGGGGTGCGTCACACCGACATCTGAAGGAAAATCTGCGTGTCGCCTATGTCATTTCCAAGTTCATATGTGGGAGTTGAGTTTCAGTCCATTTAAGTCTACATACCCGCAGTCCTCAGTACCACAGCRTGAGCAATGCTCAAGCCTTAATGAATTTAGTGCAACATCTGTGATCTGTGCAGATAGGATTTCCACCATTGTAATTTTCAACATGTTAGAAAGTAGCTGCATTTTTCTTCCAAAAAAAGACAACACTGAATTTACTTCAGTTTGACATTTTCCAACTCTCTGGAGGAAAAGAGTCCATGAATGACCTTAAAATAACATAGGTCCAATAAAAGCAGGAGCATAGGAAGAGGAGAGGGCAGCTACACCACTTGAGCAATACCAGGACCCCTGCAGCATCRCATCGGTGAGTCTCTGGATCTACTGGCCAATGTCCTTTGGGGTGGTGGAAGCACCAGCATTGCAGGTGTGTCTACTGCCCATGTACTGCATTTCAACTAGCATAGGAGTAAAAAGGATTTTTTCTCATCTCCTCTAAAGCACTCAATTCCAGCAAGGAACAAGCAAGAAGCTTTCAAGTTGACTGCTTATAGCCACCTACAGAGCATACATATTCAGCAGAAGCTCCAGCATTGTCTGGAGGGTTGTTTTTCAGCTCATTTCTCTCATTCTCTGCTTAAAACACTGCTCTAACAGCTTGTACAGCCCTTTCTGCTCCCGAGATCTCAGTATGGTAACAGAGCAGAGAACACTTTCAGTGGCCCCTCGCTTTTCCTTCACTTATGGGTAAATAGGATTTCAATATAGTCACCATCTCGGCAAGCTGGTTCCCTGGTGCACAGCTACTAACACTGCCTGCATTATCCTTCAGCCTTGGAAATGGAACAACTTCGCCCTGGGACAGGAGGGAAGGAACTAAACACGGAAAGGAAATTAAGCTACACAAAAGTCATCATTCTTAGCAATAAATGAAAGAGGGAAAAGTTGTAATTATCTTGCTTTTTACCATAAACAAGCACTTTTAAGCTTGAGCTGAGCAGAGTTTAGCTTCTGGTAGCTCTTTCCAGGAAATGGCATTCAAATAGGCATCTGAGAGCACAATCCCTGCTTGTGCACAAAATCCAAGTGGCATGAAGATGACACCACCAAATCTTTCTCCATATGTAACACCATGAAAAGAAATGATTACTTCTTAGGATTAAGACACACTGGAAAAAGTTCATGTAATTTGGAATAAGCTGTTGATGCAGCAGCCTTGTTCTTTCTTGCAGAAAACAATTCRGCAAACCTACACTAAGTTTCTGATATTTCTTGAAACTCACAGYCTTGGAAGTTTGCTCTTGTTTCAAGTGTTATTGCCAGCACCACATGCATTAACCATATCCAGCACTGAGAGGAARAAAACAGTCTTGAGAAACACAGAAATACCAGTTCATAAGTCTATAGATATGCTTGTGGTGTGGAACAAAGCAGGCAACATGGTGAGACATCTTGTGTCCCTCATCCTTAGACATGTAGTCTAGCTTGCAACACAGTTTTCAAAATTCACAGAACACCAGGAGATTATCTTTGTGGTATACACTTTAGGGGGCCACGGGAGGTTGTTTGGGGGAAAACCAAAACATTTTTGCCCAGCAATAACCACTACCTTACAGAATGACTTAGCCATTTCCAGTGCTTCAAATTGAAATCAACTTTCTTCTAAGGAAAGCAAAAACACACACAAAGAAAATCTGGCATTTGAAAATGCATTTGAAATATTTAGGCCAAAATATTAGTGATTGTTATTTTCTCTGGAAAAATGCCCAGCACATATTTTATTTGCTGCCAGTGTCTCCTTTCAAAAGGAAAGGATAAGATCAAGTCAAATGCAGCACTCTTGTAAATGTGGAACTGCACATTTAACTTACCAGATGAACTTTGTACTGGATGCAATTCAAAGACCAAACTTCACATGATAATTTGTTCTCTCTCTCATGAAACARTTTTATTTTTCCATGCTAAGTTCCAGCCTCATCTCTACTACACACACACRTCTGAGAGTTCACTTCCTCCTTCCCTTCCCACTGCTCCAGTCTCTTACGGCAGGTACCTTTTATTTTTCCTTCCACTTGTGATTTTAGGTTTCAATGAGCAAAAAGAAAAGAGGAATCAGTATCAAAATATTTAAAATATATCTAAACCTCATTTAAACAATCCTCAAACATGTTTTTCTCTATCCCAGTCTGTGAGGTGACTTTGATGCAAGCAGCAACATCCTCCCAAGCAGTCTTATTTCCTGCTTCTTAAGGGCAACTATAAAACATTACCTAGAAGAGGAAAAAAAACATGAAGCAAAATGTCGCTCATTTCTCATTTTCACTCAATTCTCACTTTCTCAATAACACTCARTTCTCATTTCTTTTATACTCTGGATCCCAAAATTGACCCAAGAGGAATTGACCTTATAAAGACTTGAAGTGTTGAAGTTCAGTTTGCAATTCAAAGCAGAGTGGGTCAGGGGGACAGGAGTTGCTCTGCTGGTTTTCTGCCATTTTGCTGAACAACCCAAAGCACATTTTCACAAATAGTACTCAAAACCTCCTCACGATAACAGATGAAATACTAGATACATCTACAACAGAGCTTGTTGGAGTTTGATCAAATACAAGAATTACTCACTCAAACCTAAGCAAGAGATACTATCTGTGCTTTGTAAGCATCTTTCAAAGCCATTGCAGTGAAACTTGCAAGTCCTGGCATGAGGGCAAAYTCACTCCATAGGCATCTCCCGAGTTACCAGAACCTCTTCCAAAGGTTCATCCTGCAGCTAAGGTGTTTGCCTCAGTTATAAGTGCCAAGTGTGTGATATTACATCATAGTTTCTGCTTTATGCAACTACAAGCCAACTAGCTACCTGGAAACACTAGTGCCTCAGGTACTGCTATTCACTTCACAAAGCTGCAGCTCACCAGGTTCGCCAGCACAAAGGCCCCACTATGTTAACCGTGCTGCCTGCCAAAGAAAGGAGTACTCACTGACACMGAATTCTCTTCGACCCATAAATATTAAAAAAAAGCCATTTATTATTCTTTTTCATCTCAAGCATATCTTGTATCATCCCCCAAAGTACCTTTCAGATAAGGCAATTCAAAAGAGATGACCATTCCTTACTCTAAAAAGGMATGTTTTACATTGCTAATTTAAAGCAAATTGCTAAATGTGATTTGAAGTTGATTTGAAAAGTTGATTTGAAGCACCATTATCTTGAGAGCTTACCTGTACCACAAGTTACATGTCATTTACCCTAACCCTTTGTTGGCTTCCCCCAGAAGACAGATCCTGCTTCCTCTCAACTTTAGGTGGTGGCACTGCTAGCAAAAGCACAGAACAGAAACAAACATGAAATTCTGGATCCTTGAGAACTGTGGCTGAACCTACCAGCCAGCAGTAGTTCAAAGTCACTTGGTTTGTTTTTCTTGTGTTTGCTCTTCCCTGAGATCTTGCAGAACCTATCCCAGTTAGTGCATTTGGAAATGGAAAAGGGCTTTTTGGTATAATGCAAGTGTCTGGTTTGCCACCTACGTGTGATCAGCAGAGTCAACACCAACAAGCATTACTCAACTCCAGAGCTGCCAAGTGTTTTGCTCACCTTCTGGCTCCAGCTACTCATGGAATTAGAGTACCTGGCAAGGTCCATCAGGTTTCAAGTCAGCTTCCCTTCTGACAACACGGAAGAGTTTCTCCTTCCCAGCTAAGAGTCCTCGTGTAAATGCTGCTCTGTCTCCCAAGAGACAAATACTAGGCCACATAAGATTCAGGGATGATTCGGTTCAAACAGCTGACCACAGATTCATGTCAAAAGTAAAACTGCCTAAAAATCCATGGGTAAGTTTGTCACAGAATGTGCCTAAGACTTTGGAGGCTCATTACGTGCCTTGTGAAGCACACGTGTGTTTGCACACACACAGCATTTCTCAATGGCAAACTGAAGTAGGGACACCAAAATCTATCAAAGCTTCCAGAGGAGCAATACAGTGACATCATACTCACCTTGGCACCCCAAATCCTCTCCAAGATGYGCTCCTTGACCCGGGAAAGGCTGTATTTGGGAAGGCTTCACAGTAATATGGCTGCTACAAGCTACTTACCTATTTGGCATTTTTATATAGTCAACATGAGCTAGTCAGACACTGCAGATATGAATATTGCATAAGCTAGGGSCAGGCTCCCCTCCAACAGGGCATTTCAGGTAGGTCATTGCATCAGCTGGCTATCTGGTCAACAGACATTAAATGGTCCACCTGTTAGCATGTCTTTTTACCCTACTCAGGCAGATATAAGTGCTCATGCATGCAAATGTTAATATATAGCTCCCTAGCCACTCTACACAACTACTCCCACAGAGTTGCCAGCACGTTACAGTAAATAAGCACGTTGCCCAGGGTTGGATGACCTGGGGAACACAAACACAGCAACATATGGCACCTCCTAAAGTTTATAGATGCTCTTAATGACACCATTCTGCATTACACACAGTAAAAGTAACTGAGCTTGTTGTAGCTGATTCACAATGTAATCTGCATGTATCAAAATAAKGAACAGCACAAAASCCACAGTAAGATGATTAGTTCAAGCTGTACATTTATTTTCAGGATTAAAACCCCCCTCCCAGGATACAGGTATACAAGGGTGAAAAAGAAACTCATGTTAACCCCAAATTTGTTTGCAGTTAAAATGAGACATTCTGTTTTCACAAAACAGATTTGGACAGATGGATAAAGCACAACTTGCCAAAAGATGAAAAACTGCACAAAATAACAAATCAAGAATAGGTAATTCCTTTATACCTGGCTCCCTCTTCAACTCCCAAGGTATAAACAGAAAAAATAGATATTCAATTGCAAAATGTTTATCATTGAACAAGAGTCCAACAGCATTATTTTATTACACAATATACTGAACAGTACAGCAGAAATTTATCACAGGTCTTTGACAAAGTATAACAGAAACACTGTAGGAAACGATGACAATTCATAAATACTCAAATACAATATACACAATGAACAGATTCACAAAACTGTTCTAATGTTTACATTCCTTTTTGTCTCTACAGTTTCTATTTGACTGATACTTTAAGTTAAAGCTGATTCACTGAATTAAAGATTTAGAGAAATAAATTATGTTTACACACGCGCCCTCCTCTTGTTCAGTTAGGCTGGCGTACTGATTTCCTGGGTAAAACAGACTGATTCAATGGAACTAAACCAGACTAGGATTCTCTCTGGAAAGTATGACCAGGGAGATAACACTATATGTACATTGGGCTCATTGGAAGCTAGCACAAACTTGGCTCTTCAGCATCTGCTCATCCTCTGTCTGCAGAGTCAGAAGGCAAAACCTACCTGTGAACTTGGTTGGGGGTTATATGCAGGGTTATATGCAGGTGTTTTCAACTGCATTCACTCCTTCCCTTCACTACACATCCGCTAACGACATCGGGTCTCCAGTTCCAACACTGCTACCAGAGACGCAGAAGTTCAGACTTCGAAAAGGTAATCCACAAGGAACTGCTATGAATTTTAAAATTTGCAAGTTTTCTTGCATTAAAAAAATGTACTTAGAGATATGCACAACATAATCTTGAAGAAAAAAMCTGTTTTACTCTTTCTGAATTACTTTGAAATAGAACTTAATGTTTATTTTATACATGAAACAAAGCTTTTTGTCATCGAATCAAATAAAGTATTTCATTACTATAGAACTTCTTTTCCTCTTCCCTCAAAACATTCTCTCAAGCCAAGTCCACTTSAATCTGCAAATATTTCAATTCAACAAGATTTGCATTCTCTAACAAAACATGTTAAGAGTACATTTTTCTAATTCTAACCACAGCCCTCTTTTTAAGAGGAAAGCAATACTGGTATTAGTAATTAGTCAAGGGAGGCTTGTCCAAATATTATGAACTTGAGAATCAACAAACTGAACTGGGACTCCTGCAAGCATCAGCATCAGGCAGGTTTGCGTTTCTTCAGTACATGCTCTGGCTGCCAGACAGTGGAATTAAAGAAACAGAGAAACAAAATGAACTTTTTCACTATTCAAACAAATACATTTTGACTTGGCTTGAATTTTGAATGAAGTTTTGAATTAGCTTGGTGGTTCTGTGCTCATACAATCACAAAAAAAATGCTCAAGTTCTTGTCCCAGGAAGTGATCATCTGACAATAAACCTGATTAGGTAATACTAGGTAATAAACAATAYGATCTGGATGGACTCTTAAAAATGCATATAGATGCTAAATTAAATATCATATACTCAAATCTTGATTCACTCTTCAACTTGCTTTTATTTGAAAGTTAATTATGTTACAAATGAAAATGGCTCTCTCCTGTCTTTAGCCATAAAAATTCTAAACATCGGTCTACTCYGTAACAATGAGCTCTGACACTCGAGCCAGGTACACAAAGAAAACACTTTTAAAATCTGTGCTAGATCAGAACAGCAGATAAACACCTTGGCAGATACTCCAATTCTAYGTGGTCTAAAGCCCCTGCTCTAAAATACTGCAGTTTTACCAACCAAGCAATTTCTCAACTCCAAGCTAATAACACTGTACCAACACAGCGCAGAGTAGGAYGCGTCAGGAGCAATGACACCACTTCCCCAGGTACCCCACTCTGCTACAAGGAGCACCTCCAGAACTGACTGGGTTCCTTTTTGCAATTGGTTCCTCCTCCAAACACTCCCACATCTGTTTGTYGTCCTTGCCTGTAGTGCCCACGAAACAACACCTGCCTTGCCAGGGCCATCAGCAGCAGGATCCTCCTCACCAGAGCACAGGCCCCGAAGCTCAGTCCCCCTTCAGATTCCTGCTGTCCAAGCATGACAAGAGCAATTCGTCTTTTACTCAAAAATGAACACACAACTCACAGCTTTATGGCTGTGGAATATATTAAGACAGCAGTGCCCAAGCAAGATGCTGAGGGAAGGGTATCAGCAGGAATCCATTATAAATGCCCCTTGCTTTCACCTACAAACACACACTAAAGCACTAAAATCTGTAGATGCTTCCCAATCTTCCTTCCCTGCCGGGACGTATGCACAGGCTATGTCCTATGTGCCCTTCCATTGAGCACTGAGCCCACTGCCAGGGGAACAGAGCAGCCATGGGCTCCGTGTGAGCACATTAGGGAGAGAGATAACCGTTATAAAACAATGTGCAAGCAAACTGCATGGGTAGCAACAAACCATCCAAATAAATTCTTCTGCAATATAACATATTAATACATGGCCTTCTCTTCTCCCAACATCTAAAGAATGGTCATATCCTAAAAACAATTCTTCTGGGACAGTTATCAGTTTTCTTTTTCCCCTCTTTTTTTTTTCTTCTTTTCCTTCAATGAATTCTACTCCTTTGGAAGACATAAGCAAGACTAAACTCACTGTACCCAACAAATGCAAATAGACACCTACAGCACAGACAACAGAAACAATTAAGTACCTCTAACCTGCCCTTGCCCTAATGCCAATAGGGAGATTTTCCCCATCTCTCACCTGCAAGGTCTGACAGGCAGGAGGTTCCAACCTGGGCCCAGCTGGAGGCCACGCGGGTACTGGGACACCAGGTTCCTGCTCTAATCTGCTGCTTAGGACAAAAAAAATCTCTGAAAAGAGTCTGGTACAAGGGCATTGTGCCCATCTGCCCACGGCCCACCAGGCAGGTCACGTTCCTCACACCTAGGCAGAGCACCAAGCACCACTCTGAAACATGTAGGTCTCTTCACACAAGTCAAGCTTGCAGCATTGTTTTTCCCTCCCTATTTTATCAATTCAAAAATTTATTCTGAATTTCTCCTTCCTCTACTGCCATTCTTAAATCACAGCATTTTGTCCTATTTCAAGATACAGCAGTGACCTAYGTTCAAGAAACTTTCCAGTTTGTATTTAAATATATCTAAACCAAAGCCCTGAGTTGCAATCATCACATCTCTAGTCAAATAAATACAGCAGAAGGACTAACAACTTAAGTCATTACTCTGCATACACAGTATAAATATTGGCTAAGCCTGATAAATCTCTTTTGAGGTAGATATATACAGTACAAAAAATATTAAGAGTCAAATGCAAATATACTTTACCTTATAGCCTTGTCCTCCACTTCCAGGGGATATTTCACAAATGTATTTACCTCCCATTTCACCTGCATTCCTTTTTTTTTTTTGAGTTCTGAGCTCTAAGACTATTTGTAACTTAAAAAACACTGAAAATATCCTGTAGTGATATTTTTACTAGAGTTTCTGTTTGTGCCATGAGAAGTTCACACAACATTTCAGCTAAACAAAGTTTACATGTTTAAAATTGTTTTGCAGATGAGACAGCTGTTCCAAACAGGTTGTAATAGATCAAACAGTAATTTAAAAACAAAGTTTTAAATCAGGAAGTTGATTTTTAGTTTCCCTAAACTTTTCATTATTTCTGTCCCCCCAACACACACTAAAGAAAACTGTCTCAGAAAACAGAATCCCCTCCCATTCCCTTAGAAAACAGATTCAAAGAAAAAAGAAAGGAGAACTCTAATGGAAAACATGCAAAGAGATAAATCAGATTAGAGTCTGCTCAGAACTCGGCCAAGGTTCACATGGAAGGTTTGCAAACTTTASCTAATCTTGTCTGAGTTCAGAGCTTGCAACAAACAAGCAAAACACTTTTGGACTTCTCAGTATTGAGACACTAGAATAGCAGAGCCAAGAGAGGAAGATAGAGAGAGATTCACCTTTTTTAAAGAACATCTATGATAAGCCATTCTCAAGTATCATAATGAGATTAATACATATTTGTAATCATGGAATGATTAGTACACCCAACAGTTGCTTTAAAAAGACAACTGAGCAGGGAGGTATCTGCTAGGCAGACACTTGTTTAAATCCCAAGATAAATCAGGCCATAAAGGACTGCTATCAGCTAGCCAGTTAAAATACCGATACACACAAACATGTGACAAACACGTGGCAACATTTTGTTGTGGATCAACACAAAAAGCAGTAAGACTACACCATTAGCACYGCTCTCCAACTCTGCGGGGCTTATTCCTTAGTCACAAGCAGCTGCAGGCTGAGAAAATGCTTCCACTGGAGCTGTTCTGAGCAGATCGGCTCTGGCAGCAAGCGCCRGCATTCAGGGCAGGCTCTGGAATTCACCCCCACACCGCAAACCCATTCGCTGTTTGGGTTGGGAGCACTCCTTACTTGCATCCAATTCTCCTGAATAAACTTCCACTTAGCCTTCTTCCTTCCACAGAGGTTAACTGCACAAGAAGTTTTCCAAAGAAAATTCAATATGTGGAAAAAAATAGTGAAGAAGCAAGAGAGGAAGGTTGCTAGGCAGTTTCTTGAGCACCTCACAACAGACATGGACTTGTGAGTTGCAAGTCTGATTWCTTGAGTACTGAAGTTTCCTTCAAATTACCAAACTAATTCCAGAGAGGAAACACACTCTTGAACATGATGGCMGTACGTGCACTAAAGTAAAATAACAAGGTGCTGAAAACTAGTTTGGAGCCCAATGAGGCAAAGCATTCCAAGCATTTGCATCTCGGGCCCAAACCAAGTGCGAGTCCTCAGCACAGCATTAGCAGCTTCCTCTGAACAACAGCGACATTGTTTCTTCAAGTAAATCAGAGGTAGTGCCCAGAGCAGCTTAGTGAGCTAAGAGCAGCTTCCAGCTGAAACCAGCTATGCCTGAGGTGGCCTGAAAAGCAGCACTGCCTTGGTTGGCCTGGTAGAACTGCTGCTGAGGGASCAGCAGCCATCGTGGGTTTGAACCTTGAGTCAAGAAGTTGAGCAGGCTGCACACMGGGGGGCACGGTGAGCCCAGTCAGTGGGCAGACCCGTGCAGTAACTGGGTACATCGGCCTCTGAGAGCGGCCCTGGGCTGGCAGGCAGACCCTGGGCAGAACTGCAGCAGATGTGTGTGCAACTTAGTCCAACACGCAGCCACAGAGAGCCACGCAGCAGCACTCAGGCAGTGCCCTGTGTTCCACTCGGAGCTGCCCATCTGTGAGAGAAGACACCCTCCCGGGTCTGATTTTAAACCACACTTCCTTGACTTGTTTTTCAATAAACAGGTTATAATAGTTTCATTTAATAAAATAAGCTTAGAAGAGTTTAAAGATCTCAGGATACAGTGGAACAAAATAATCACAATATAGATGCAGATTCGTCCTCTTCTAAAAGAAGATCATTTAATGCAATAACTGTAGCAGCAAAGTCAACCAGCTCCACAAAGTCTGATGTAATTATGTTAACGCCCATAACGCCCGGTTTCTGTGCTTTCACCCAATTCAATATCATGGGAAGGTTCCTAAAGAGGGAAAAAAATATATACATTTTAAGAGACATCCTCAGCTTTAAATATTCTGCTTATTTTAAATAGCGCATGATGTTTCTAATTGATCTCCCATTTGTGATCATGTGCTGACCCCATGAGATGCAGCCTGCCTGATGTGCTTTATGTGGTTTATAGCCATTAAATGCTAGTTATTTGTCAACGAAACATTCAAGTGTCTAAATTAACATTCATACAAAAAACACCACAGATCAGAGACTATTTTCATTAAGCAGACTGTGCTTCGGGATTTAACACTGCATCATGGCTTGCTTTTGTTCAAATGCATGCTGATGAAAAGCTTAATGCTACACCAACAGGACTTATACAAGGACTCCAGCAYGGCCCAAGGGAAAGCCAGATGTGGTGCCAAACATTCCTCACCCAGGCAGAAGCCTTGCCCTTCAGAAAGAAGGCAGTGCCCTCTTTGCACAAAACATTGATTTTCAGCTTTTGGACCCAGCCAGAGCAGTGGGAAGAGGGACATCAACCCTGCCCTCAGGTTCTCAGTTCTGCCAGGGCTGAGCGCCCTCCACATGCTACTGTGGCTGCTGAAAGGTGGCCTGGGTGGGGAGCTGCTCTGACACTGCAGTGAGGAAAAGCKTCGGGCCTTTCCTAGACAGGGTGAAAGCCAGCAGCCTGTACAGGCTTCTGCACTCTAACAGGCAAACCCCAGGGATTTCAGCACAGGTAGAGACAAATTAAATGTATTAAAATTATGAATATTAGTACCATAATATACAAAAAAGATATCATGTCAGACAAGCCAAGAGTTTGGATCTGTGCCTGCAGATTTTATGAAATTAGCTTGCTCTGTGTTTTTTTAAATCAGTATATCTTTCTAATTTATATTTAAAGTACACAGAAGTTACTTAAACCCATGCATGCTGTTAAACATCTCTACCAAAAATAGACTAAGAGCAAATGCTAGCCACGAGCACCACCTAGCGTTTCATGGCAAGCACAGGTCTGGGCAACGAGCAAACAGAAAACAATATCTGAATAAAGCAGGGGAAATATCATTTGGATTTAATTATCCTTTGCTAGAATGATTTACTGTAAACAGGAAAGAGCCCAAGAACTCCACAGCTTATATATCACCTACAGTTTCTGCGCTTGTACCAATAACTTTTCTAGCTGTAGAACCACAACATTTGCTCTTTTTCAGAAGGGAGTTCTAAGAAAATACATTCTATTGACTTTGACTGCAGTAATACTGCAATTAATACTGAAGGCACCAATGATTCTCTGTAGGAACTATGAGCTGGCTGCTAAGGCAAGGATGTGTTTATCTTGCTGTTTAATATTCTCAGGTGCTCAGACGACCAGGACAGAGCAAGTTAAGGTAGCTGCAAGTATCTGTACAAGTGTTACTTGAAATCAGTTGTGTCAATGTGTCATTTCCAGCTTATTTTGACAAAACAGTCAATATGAAATAGCTGGCCAGGAGAACAGATCCCAACAGGACTGTAACAAGGCTGTATCATCATCCCCACACCAAAGAGCAATATATAGACACACACAGATATCAGGTCCATGTGTCTGATTATATCTTGGACATGATTAGTTGGTTAACAGCCTTAATGACTGGTATTCTGCACTCACATCAAGCTCCTGATGATATTAATGGGTAAGTTGTGCAACAATCAGCAGTAGGAAAAAATTGCTCCTTTTGTTTTTGGTAAAACAAACTCAAAACATGAGAAAATACTGCCTCTGGTCACATATATTTCTCCATTACCCAAGTCATCACCAAGTTATTACCATTGCCAAGTCAGATATGCATGAGGAAATGCAGAACTTAGCTCATAGAAAATGCAGCCTTGTTCTGTTGTATTTTTTTGTTATCTGTTTTGTTTTTGCTCCCCTCACCACCCCAAAAAAACTCAAATCAATTTGAGAATAATCATTACTTTGAAGCTAATCATTCGTTTGAGGCTAGGTCTAGCCTACTAGCCTATATTTCATAAGATCACAGTTTGACAACTTCAGGTACCAGGGAATGCACTTGTATGTACAAGGAATGTACRTACATTCCCTGCTCATACAAGTATGGGAGGGAATGTACACACATTCCCCGTTACTGGAAGYGCTGAGGAGATACCTCACCTATGCACAAGGGTATTCTTCAGACCACGGATTAGGTGCCGTGCAATCGTCTTCACTCGAGGCGTGAGGATGGCCTGGGAAACATGAAAAGTTCCGTAGCGACTTCGCTCCTCAAGAGTCGTCTCCAGAAACTGCAAGAGCTTGTGCACRTTGGTGGTGTTGGCCCACGGTGCTGGTATTTTATTCCCTGGCCACAGGAAGGGGTATTCCCGGTACAGAGGGTAGTGGTAGAAAGTAAGAACCTAATATGCAGAAAGAGGAAAAGAGATGAATAAGAAAATACTTTATTGCTGTACTCTTAAAAACAGTATTTTGCACTAGTTTACACTTGCTTATTACCACTGGAGCTAACATAGGACCAAGCATAGACTAGGAGTAAGTTTATTGCACAATTACCACACAGAAGCAAATAATTTGTCTGCTATGAGGCCAGAATTGATGTAGTTTAGAAYTGCCTTAGTTTAAAATGAAGTTGCTACAAGTACACTGAGGCATCACACAAAGTATTCAACTTAACAGCTTTTCAAAGCATTGCCCAAGACCAGAACTACTTGCACTTGAGCGGCAGCATTTGAGCTATCTTGCCATTTTCTGCATAACCCATTATGCAACTTATTATGAATGAAGTGCCAAAGCCAGCCTTGCTGTCAGAAAATCTTCCCTAGGTGAGAAGTCAAATCCTACTCTTTGTAACGTGGTTCCTTTTAATAAAGAGGAATATAGAAGTAAACGCTAAAACTCCAAGTTTGCAACTAACCATTTCCTGCTGAGGCAAAGCACTTGGACTCAAACTGAGCCAATTTATGGTTTAATAAGTATATGAAATCACTGCGACACTGTTCTCAGAGTTAGTGTACGTGTATGCAAGCAGTTACCACAGACACAAAATGCATTTTATCCTGTCCCTGTAAGGTTCGGATGGCAACAAAGGAGCAAAGACTTTTTCTATCTACTCTTAGTCCTAATACAGCTTATATGCTTCAAACGGGCAAAAGTCTATCACATTCTCATCAACACCAATCAGCACAATGTGCTCTTTCAGGAAGAAAATACTTCTTGTAAGAGGCACAGGCCCCAGGTATAGTATAGTATAAATTAAGGAACATGCTTGGGAAAAAAGGTACAATCCAGCCACACCATGGGTAAAAGAGGAACTCAGTTGCAAAGCCAYGGAAAGAAACCTGTGGACTACATAAATCAGTTCCCTAGTGGGCTTGAAACTACGGCATGTGGAAGTTAACTTTGTTCACGGGCTCATGGGCCTTACTGACCCAGCTCTCCTGCGCACATCTTAAGCTTTGGGGATTGAAGAACACTACACAATCTTTCCCCACCTGGTATTTCTTTTCCCACATGTACTGTAACGTCACATGCTCTACACATGCAATGGAACACAGTTTGGATCCAAACGCCGAGCGGATCTTGTTGATCAAGTAGAAGTGATGGCTGTCATCCATGGCGTAGAAGTGATTGAAGTCCAAGAAGATGACTTCCTTGGGGTGCTGTCCAAGGAAAGTGTTAATCTCCATCAGCCCATCCCATACTTTGATGCCAAACAAGCCATGTATGAAGTAAATCTCCTGTCCTATTTCCCCAGGCTTGGAAGACACACGAAGATCAAAGTAGCGGATCCCACCTTCCAATTGCTCTTTAAAAGTCAGGTTTTGAGTCACCGACCATTTCTTCATAATCTTTTTAACCAATGAAATTTTGGCCAAACGTTTGATAGCTGTGGCTTGGTCTGGTCCCACGGGAGATTTCTCATCAACCCAGTAGCTGAAAGAATCATGTGACCCTAGAAACACACACACAAAAAATTTAGTTTTAGACAACCGAGTTTTAGAAAGCTGAAGGGCTTCTAAACATACATGCTCTTCAAGTAAAAATGTGTGGGTATAAGCTGATCTGCCACAGACTGAAGTCTGCCTGGGATTTCTAACCATCTTTATTTTTACCACCTGCCTGGTACCAGGATTCTGGCTCAGAAGTTACATCAGTCTCCAGGCACAACTTCTTTGTGAAGTCTGAGCAGCAAAAACGCATGCATATTTTGCTAACTGCAGGGAAGAGRTCTTCATTCCTTGCCTCCTATGAGCAGTTCCCTTCCCAACTGCCCTTAAGGTACTATGAGGCTATAATCTGCTTCCTGTGCCTATATCTTCCTTTTATCTCAAGGATTCTTTTCCCTGTTACTTTGACTATACCCACTCTCCTCCTCTCYACCTTGGTTTGAGACTCCCCTAAGGGCAGTTTTCTAGTTTTTAAAGGAAAACTTGCTGACGCTATACCATCTTTTACCTGAGCCTTTTATCTATRTACAAGTGCTCACTTGAAGACTGATGCTTATCCTACCATGCAAGGTCAGAACCGTAAATGAGATTATCATCTCAACTGGATTATTTTGTCAGGAATTTCTAATCTTGAYAGAAGAACAGTCTGTGTACAACCAAACATCACTTTAGAGACTCCAATGCACTCCTTCCTGTGATTTTTTAACAACTTACTAGTAGGRAAAGGGAACTGTAAACATTTAGTTGCCTGGCCTTTACAAAAGACAACTAAAACTAAGCAACTGTTCATTAAATCCTTGCAAACTTCAGAGAAGTATGGCTCTTATATTGCTTTTCATTAAGTCACCAAAGAGTGACAAGTAACAAAAAGCTGCTTTAAAAGGTATCAGCTTAAGCAGCTATTTATCTGTCACAGTAAACCACACCAAAAAGTAGCTGCCAGTTTTGGAGTGAAACCTTTTTTTCCTCCAAACATCAGAAACAGAAACCACAGTGAYTACAAGGGATCAAACACGTGATGAAGACATTTCAAGAGAAACCATACAATGCCCTGCTTATACTGCAACTCATGCAAACGCGTGGCTTTACAAAGAGCTCCCCTTGCTGCTGAATGAGTCTTTCAAGCATCRACAGTATTTGGAAAAGGGACTTCAGCTACAAGGAAATCTTCTTATCCCTCTTAATAAATCACGTTGAATAAGGGAAAAAAATATAAAAACTAAGCAAAGAAAAATCATGTTTTCAAGTCTACCCATTTTAATTTCTTCTTCTACAAAACTCACTATAGAATTATGTTGGGATAAAGCCGTACAAAATATTTTCCAACTGGGATTGTGCTATTACTAACATCATTATGCCCCCTTCAGAGAGCATCGTTGTCTGGTAAACCTGGTTTATGAAGGAACAGAATGACAATTTTATCTGGCATCAGACACATAGCTATCAACTCTCAGGAAGCTTTCCAAACAAATCCAAGCGAAGCAGCAGCTTGGCTTGGTAAGTGATCATATACTTYACAGCTATGAAAGCCTCTTCCTATTGCAGACTTGCACATACAAGGCTCACACCTAAGGAYCCAGAGAGCAAATTGCTCTTAGCAATGCTTACACTAGCGCAGACTATTAATAGCTGGAGAAAACAATAAAAGAGCAAGCTGCACACACACTGACTTCAATACATGCTTTAAAACCTGAGCTTCTTAGCAGCACAGCTGAGAAACAGAACTATCCTTCTAGTTAAACCTTCATGGTTGCCCTCTCTCTTTAAAGAGAGATCTAGGATTTGATCAACAASTATACCTAGCTATAAAGTAGAACATAGGAAAAGGAAATTGAAAAGCTTACCCAGCCATGGGGTTAACTTTGCTTAGCTGTAATGTTAGACTACATGCTAAATTCACTCAGCTCAATGCCAAAATAATCCCTGCCCCTCCTTCTGTCTCTCTTCCTCCCTCCCCAATCCCAGGGCAGGCCTCACTGTTCTGCAGCCACAGCATGTGCCAGKCTGCCAGATGACCCAGCATTATTTCATTTTGAAGGAGTGCAATCCAGGCCAACCCAAGCTTGTACCCTTTCCAAGGCAAAAGCAGGAGCCAACATGAGAACAGRAGGGCAGCCCAGTTCTGCTAGCAGYTCAATGGGCAGCACCATTGGCCATATCCTCAACCAGGGACTACCGCAAGGATGGGCAAGGAGAGTCAGGGGCTGCCAAACACCGCAAGAATTGCAATATACACATATGCAGCCAAGTTTGAGTACATAAATCCTTCATAACTCTTCTGCTGCCTCACAAGCTGCGTGCATTTCTCCARATTATGCTGATCCTTTTTTTTCTCCAAGAAAGTTGAAGCAACTCAAGTCACGTTTGAGATGACAGTCAATATCTTAATTRTAAATTAAATTCTATACCGTTTTAATAAACTCACTCCTTAAATACTGTTGATTGTGAATTAAAAACATCCAACTTGGGTATTTATAAGCTCCATTTTACAGATGGGAGTGAAGGAGGGAAGGCACAACAACTTGCCTACGCTTGTCCTTTAGACGAGGGGAGGCTAAAGCTCCCCGCTAGGTTACCTCAAGGGCATGTTCTTGCACCTGCAGCATGCTGCCCAGAAACTCTTCTCGAGTCCCTGCATAATGCCAAGGGATTACCGCGCACACCGCAATTCTCAGGCAACAGCCTCAGTGACACAACGTCACTCTGCTGCTCAGACCTTSCCAATACCAAGCTACCCACAGGGCTAAACAAGGCAACAAGGATTGCCAACCGCCCCCAACAGGCCAGAGATACTTGGCTCGAGGAAGCAAAGCTGGTGTTATTCAGTACATGAGATTTAACCAGGAAAAAGTCCAGGTTGCAGATCAGTCTGATCTCTTAACTTCTCTGAATAAAAGGCACTGGCTGCTCTACTTTGGTTTCATTTCTTTCATCTCTCCGACTGGAAGTTTCCAGGAAAACAGGAACTATATCTGAGTTTTCACTGGGGTGTTAAGCAAACCTGTGATAYGCTCAGAAGGATACTAAGCAGGTATCTTTCAGACACCAGTTTGTTAAAACAACAAATAACCCTCTTCGTATTATCCCAGCAAAGGGAAGCATTTTATTCAGATCTTCAACCCTCTTTCCTCCCTACATTGGCTTCTCAAATTAACTGTACATTCAATAGATTGCTTTTAAATCCCATTTATATGTTAAATATTGTATTCCAGTCTTCCAAATGACTTTTGTTGAAGTCTTTGCTAATCTCTTTGCTAATAAAAGAGCCTTTTATCATCACATCTGCAACAGATTCCAACTTTCTAGTAGGTCTCATTTGTTACGCCATCTAGTCAGATGGGATACATTAACCCATGGTGTAGCTCAAACAAGTAACATTAGTCAAGACATTTTTTTTAAGCCTTGGACTTCAACTGCTAGCTACACTGCTTTCCATCTTCTCCGTCTCTGCATCGCTACTTGTTCTGTACACTGTCATAATGTAGGGACACAAATCAGTATCACCTCATCAACCTAGCTGTCTTTTTACAGGCTTGTAAATTTACTTCCGAGGAATATTAAACAGCACACAAAATGCAGAGAGCTTCCAGCACTACTTCTGCGCTAGCATTTACTTGAAAACAAAGAGCTCCTCTCCCGCCCTCAAAGTCCTTKGGCACCAGCACATTCACAGTATGAGCTGCCCTGGGTACAACACCACAGACTGGTCATAAGCAGCTGAAGACACCTTCATCACACTCTTGGCTAGTCATGTTTCTGTAGAAAGCAGAACAGGAGAGTGCACTTTCAGCAAGCTTAACTAGATCAAAATAATTTGGTTTCATCTTTACATCAATGAAATAACAAAAGGCACAGAGAAACATGTGTCATGTTAAACACTTACAAACGGCAAGGTCAACATACTGCACCATTAAAAGCATTACAGGATCATTTATGAACAAAGAATCACCCTAACCAGAATGACACCAAGCTTCTATACAAAGGATATTCCTCACATTAAACAACATGCTTCACAACAGATTTAGAAGAATAAACATTAGAGTCAAAATAGAGAAACAAACTAATCAAGTTCAAAGCACATGGGAACCAAATGCTATCAAGTTAAAGTTATCCCCTCAAGCATTATTCAAAACCAAATGCCTAATCTGTGCCAGAATTGAGGGAAAACTGGCATAGATAGTGTCTCTCAAAGCCCMAAAGTCCTCAGGATTCAGGTCATTAATAACCCAGATTCTTATCAGAAGATTAACATCTTAAAAATGCTTAAATAATGAAAAGCAAATTTAATGATTCACTGACTTGCCCAGCAAAGGGCAGAGAAGAGGGAGTAGCAAACATCTCATTGATAATAATCTGAAACTATCTAAACAAATWTTTTTATATTTTAATAGACTCTTAAAAGAATCCCAAGTTATTTTTAATGCAGTCTAAAGAGACAAAGCCTAGCACAGACTAAATCCTCTTATGAAAGCATCTTCCCTGTATCAGAGTACTAGACTGACTTCCCCTACAGTAGAAGATAGGGCAGGAAGAATCAAGTGGCAGAGGTGAGAAGAGAAAGGGACTACTCAAAACAGCTTCAGACATAACCYCGTATGTTAATTTACTTTTCTTTCAAGCCAGGATGAGCTTGTTCAACAGCAGTTGCTCCCTGTTCAGTTTGTGGTAGTTTAGTAAYAATAATGTATTTATCACCAGTACCTTTACCTGTCTGCATAGGGAAAACAACAGATGACTGTATTTCCTGACCCTGAACAAAGGTATCTGATAGAAAAGAAACTTTTCTCTTTAGTTAGCTCTATTAATTGGAACAGGGGAAAGAAAACTTACCTGGCAAAAGGTACTGAAGACAAATACCAGGTGAGGAAATTTCAATAAGCTGTACATATAATACAGATTTTCAAGCTCTTTAATCTGAGCATTTCAYAAACAACTCTGACATCTGTTACACTATCACAAAAGCTGGGTCCCAACCTCCACCAAGAAGCGAGTCCTTTTTTCACTG